GTATATGTTGTTGTTGTTGTTGTTGTTGTTGTATATGTTGTTGTTGTTGTTGTATATGTTGTTGTTCTTGTTGTTGTTCTTGTTGTTGTTGTTGTTGTTGTTGTTGTTGTTGTTGTATATGTTGTTGTTGTTGTTGTTGTTGTTGTTGTTGTTGTTGTATATGTTGTTGTTGTATATGTTGTTGTTGTTGTTGTTGTATATGTTGTTGTTGTTGTTGTTGTATATGTTGTTGTTCTTGTTGTTGTTGTTGTTGTTGTTGTTGTTGTTGTTGTTGTTGTTGTTGTTGTTGTTGTTGTTGTATATGTTGTTGTTCTTGTTGTTGTTGTTGTTGTTGTTGCTTTGCGCAGAATATGAACAACTCGTCGTCTGCGTACATCACCGAAATAAGAATAAGAATCACCATAAATCAACCGTTACAATAATCGTACAACTATCATTCCACATTAGTGTTACTACCCAATTTTGCTCTCCAGTAGTTGCCGTTATTAGTGTACTGCGTTTTCAGATGATCTACGATACGGCGATACGGTCCAGGCTTTGGTTCGCGGTCAAGCGCTCTATCCCCGGATCAACCCTCTTCACAACAATGTATGATATTACGTATGTGTTGGTGACGATATGAGGAAATTGTGGGGAAATTTTTGTTAGTTTCTTTAGCCGAATTCATCTGTAAATTGCTATAGTCGAGGAAACTCTCAAGATCAGCTGCTGAGGGAAGCGATCAAAGTTCTTACAATTTGATCTTCTTCGTTAACCTCCTATGACTAAGGGATTTGCTCATCTATTGGAGTTTCACCCGTTTTACGTGAGGTGGCGTAAAACTTCGTGAAAACCCTATATTCGCAGTAGTCGTGAAATATCACTAGGGTGAACTAAGGTTTGAATGTTATTTAATTTTGAATTTCTAATCTGAATATTCGCCAATTTTGAAGGCTCCTCCTGCTGTTCCTCAGCTGCTACTGGAGCTCGGCGAGGACGAATCAGAAGAAGATGATGATGATGATGATGATGAGCATCACTTTGATTCCGCCCAGAGGTTTATTGATATGCTTGTTACTCGGGCGGCTGAAGATCCTGATGATGAGTATCGTCAGTGTTATGAGGATGGTAGGTCGTGAACCAGGGACCTATCCCAGGGAAGGAAATGATGACATTTACATGGGAAACTGTTCGGAACTATGTGAAAAATCGCCTATCACAGAAAACATTGGAGTTTCACCTGTGATATGAAAACAACACTAGTGAAAAACATGGTTGACAATTTGTTTGCCGAAAACATATACGTGTTGCAGTTTACATGGAGTTTTACGCTACTCCACGTTAAACGGGTCGTGAAACTCCAATAGATCACTCCTCACTTGTTCGGTACTCAAGTTTTTACCGTTAATAGATGCCATAGTCAACATGCAGAGTAGTAGAGACATAAGGGGAAAAAGACCATGAACAATGGCCTGTTCATTGGGGACAGCACGCATGTCATCGCGCGGAGTCACCGATAGCAAGTTCGGTATAGGTTCGTGGATGATTCTCCGTTGTGAATTCAGTCTACTACCATTTTTTGTGCTGGATTCAATGCAAGAGTGCATTACCTTTGAAGAGTTCAGA